GGCCTGTGGGCTGCATCCAGCCCGCAGGGTGCTTAAATTTGGCCTGTGGGGCCAGCCTGGTGTTCTAACCCAACCGGGTTCCCAGAGAGCAAACACAGACAAAGGCAGTAGCCCCCACCTTTCAAGGTTTAATCACGAATGCTGTTCCTTTACAGATAAAAGACTGCTTTCCAACAATTATCCCCGACAAGAAAGAGCCTTGCCAAATTGTTGTCAAGGCTGCCAAAAACCCAGAGATAAGAACTAATTTACAAGATTCACAAACTAAGATGTCCACCAGTTGAGCTTCAGAGTTGAGCACCAGTTGAGCTTCTTTGCTTTCTGCAAAGAAGGCTTTTCCAAACCTGGCTTTTACCCTCTTGAGGGAGGGGCCATTATCTTGCAGCCTTACTCCCAAGTCACCTGTGCTGCTGTAATTGTTCTTTCCTCCGAGTAATCCTTCATGCACGTGCACTTGGCACAGGCTCCTCGGGAACCTCCTCGTCGTTGCTGCCAGCCCCCACAATCTCTGAAGGCAGCAGTCCACTCCCTGATGGTCCTGGCCCCTCATCAGAGTCCTCGCTCTCCTCATCCATCTGCACCTGCTGCCAGCTAATCACAACACCTGGAAATATCAAAGGAACGGCCCGCGGTGCCTCTGTCGGCCAAAGCGAGGCCCTTGCGTGGCCCAGTTTCGGCCTCCCCAGCCTCCAGAAGCACTCTGCCGGCCAAAAAAGGGCCCTGCAGAGGCCCCATTTGTCAACTCATAAGATAGTTCTATGGTCTTTTTAAAGTTGCCAACAGAAAGGGAGGGGGGAGCAGTGCAGCAGCTTGCAAACCAAAACTGCATTCCATAAATGTTTTCAAGGTGACCAAAGTTTCTGCTGCACAAAATTCTAACTGGAGAGTATGGTTGATGACTCTTGGCTATGGATGTGTCCCATTGGAGAATATGAATTATGATACATCCAGTGTAATGATCTGAGGCGTGGCACAAAAGTAACAAAGTCACCAAAGTAGATAAATTATCTTTAATGCCTCCAAGCTGGCCCCAATTATCCTCGGCTAGAGATCAAACTCTTCTAAAAACAGTCTACAAAGGGAAGAAATGCAGTGTGAACCCAAAATAAAGATAAAGTAGAAATAAAAAAAACAACACAAACCATGCTGAAGTAATTAATACAACAGACCAGGATAATAACTTGCAGACTTCCAAAAGATAACGAAGCACACACAGTTGGGAGGATGCCAAAACCCAGATAAGCCTCGATAAAGATAATGCACACTTTGCTTCCAGCAACCTTGCCATGCACAGTTTGCCCTTTTAAACAGTCTTCCCAGCTGCAGCCAATGAATGGGATCAGAGCCCTTTCCTCCCCTGTAAACCATGTTGCTCCATTATCCATATCCAATGCCGAGCCAGCCTATGCCCTTCCTCACTTTCCTCCACAGCCACCGGAGCCACACTCCCACTCCCTGTCAGCTGTTCCACCTCCCCCTTGTAATCAGATTCCAATTGGGGCATGACACCCCTGGGGGAAAACCAGGCTCAAGGGTGAAATGGATGATGTGTCTCAGAGTCGGCTACACCAGGCAGTGCCGGCATGTTTACTCCTAATAAATCTTCTTTAAGTTTTGGAAGTTTGGCTAGATACTCATGATTTAAATGGGGGTAATTTCCGGAGCCCTGATACCGCGAGACTCTGTGCAGCCCATTTCAGCCTCCTCACCCTCCATCAGCACTCTGCAGGCCAAAAATGGGCTGCGCGGAGGCCCATGCCCCATTTTATACAGCAGGGCTGCAAGAGGCACCCATCCTGTCTCCCCCTGCTCCCCCCCGGCCCACCGAGAACCGCTGATCCGGCCCGCAAAGAAATCCACTTTGACTCCCCTATTTTAGAGTCCTGAACTGCCTATGGTGAAATCACTAATCACGCCATCCCACGCATATTTATTTCTAGCCCGGCTGTTTCAAGTTACGCGCCAAGGCTCCAGAAATACGAATATAACGATGATGAGCCGCCTTTATGGTTTGGTACCGAGGTCAGTGGTGACGAACTGATCATGGCGAAGAAACTGAAAAAACGTCGGTACAGCACTATGGCCATGGCGCGACCGAGCATCCTAGGGTCTTTGGGAGAAAAAGACTTAGAACAAACCAAACTTCCTCTGATTGAAGCTATAACAGAGCAAGCCGTGGAAGAAAGTTTGATCTCGCCAGGAAGTCTGGCAGAAGATCCCTGAAACGGTGTCCGATGTTTGAAACTCCCTGAAAGCCGACAATCCTTTTTGTTAGTGGGGAAAAATGTACTTAAAAAAAAAGCTTTTCATTTATTGAGAGCAAACTATGTTCCTTTTTTGTTGTTGTTCTTAAAAATACTGTGAAGGAAAAGTTGTGGCTTTGTTTTTCTTTGTCTTTGGAGAAAATGTGGCCATTCAGTTGTTGAAAGATATCTGTGTTAGTCTGCAGCCTTAGCTGAAGCATGAGAACTTGGTTGTTTTTATTGATGGGGTGGGGTGGAAGATTTGTAATATTTTATTGTGGTCAGAATTTCTTGCCTATATCCAAAGAGTTAAGCCCGAAGGTATCAAAATAATTGACATGACATATATATTCATTCTGAGATTCATAAAATCAGAGGGTTGGAAGGGACCTTGGAGGTCTTACAGTCCAACCCCCTGCCCAAGGCAGGACAACCTATTACTTATTACATCCTGGACAAATCTTTTCTTGAAGACCTCCAGTGATGGAGCACCCATATTGCGCTCCACATCTTTCCTTGAAGACCTCCAGTGATGGAGCAGCCATAACCATGCTCCACATATCTTTTCTTGATGACCTCCAGTGATGGAGCACCCAAAACGGTGCTCCTTATCTTTCCTTGAAGACATCCGGTGATGGAGCACCCATAACGGTGCTTATCTTTCCTTGAAGGCCTCCAGTGATGGAGCACCCATAATGATGCTCCTTATCTTTCCTTGAAGGCCTCCAGTGATGGGGCACCCTTAATGATGCTCCTTATCTTTCCTTGAAGACCTCCAGTGATGGGGCACCCATAACGGTGCTTATTTTTTCTTGAAGGCCTATACATATGGAAGATGGCTTGATGTTTTTATGTTCTGTTTGTTTATGTTTGTTTTTAAAAACCAATAAAAACTTTTTAAAAAATGTTCCTGTCCCTTCCTAATTCAATTCTCTCATTTATTTTATTTCATTTATTTTATTAACAAACATTTCACTATTCACAGTAACTATTTTATCCCTCATTTTAATCATACATTGTTTCCAATTTTCTAAAATTATTTCTATTACTAGTATAACAATACAATCTTATGTACCTTTACAGAATCCCTTTTTCAGTTAAATTTTCACCCATTATCTCTAAATAGGTCCTGTTTCTCTATATCTTGTTTCTGTCCTTTGTAACTTCTTTTCCTTTCCTTCTTCCCTCTCTTCTTCTCTCTCCCCTTTTTACCCCCTTGTCTCTCTACCTCTATTTCTCTCTTCTGTATTCCCCTCTTCTGTTGCTTTCCAATATTATACTTATTTTTCTAACTATTTTTCTTTTCTTTGGTTGTTTTTTTAAGTCTTAAATTCTCCATTCTCTTTCGCCCCTTTCCTTTTTCTTCCCCACATAGAATTACTTGTTCATTAAAGATGGCTTCTTCTTTGTCCCAGTCTTCTTGTTTTGCAGATGTTTCTTGTTGTTTCTCATAGTTCCAAATCTCCATTTCTAAGAATTGAAAAACGAAGCCAAAAGAACCTTCTTGTGCATCTTCTTTGTACTTTTTAAGTTCCATTTTCAATTCATCCAGAAATAGTGCCATTGTATAAATTTTTAAACAACCACCCAATTGATTTTAGTCATTCAAGTGCAATAACCAATTATCCAAAGATCACCAAGTAATCCAAATACACACAAGCTGTTTCTTCTTGCTTTTTTTCACTTTCTCTTCCTGGGATTCTACTATTTAGTTGCCAAGTTTCAGTTAAAATGTATCTTTTAGAAGTCTTGTTGAAGTTTTACTGTAGATTCCTTTTAATTCCAGGCAGTCTCCTCCCTTTTTTCCAGATCCTACCCTTTTATTCTTTTTCTCTCCTTTCCTGCTTATGTTTTTTAGTGTCCAGAAATCTTTATTATCCCTTTGACATTTTATTTTATTTTCAGCTTAATTGCCTGTTGACGTCAAAGCAGATTTTTTTTTCTGATTTCTTATTGAGTCTCTTAGTTGTCAGTATAGGGAAAGGGAAAGAAGAAGAAAAAACCAAACCTTTCCCTTTTCACTTTCCTTCGCTGCTTCCGACTCTTCTTTGGGAGCGATGTTATTCTTTTTAAGCTTAAATTCCAGGGTACCTCAGTTGTTGCTTTTGCAATTTAACCCAGTCAGCCAGAACTTTCAGTTCTTATCTTCCTCCTGCACATTCTTTTCCGGTCGAGTTCTTCTTTGAGGTGGCCATTTCTGACCACCGCTGCAACTGCCTTTGGGAAAGGGAGTAATGGCCAGCTGAGAAGGAGAGATGCGGCTCTCCTCAACCCTGCTGGCAGTCTCCCCCCTCTTCACCACCTCTACGGGGTGGCTTAGCCCCAAAATCAGCTGGCTCGGGGCGCTCCAGCAGCGAGCCCAGACCGAAATCACACACGATCGCGGATTTCTGTCTGTCGCCGAAGCTCAAACCAGAAGTCCGCTCCTTATCTTTCCTTGAAGACCTCCAGTGATGGAGCACCGATAACCATTCTCCACATCTTTCCTTGAAGACCTACAGTGATGGAGCACCCATAACCGTGCTC